CAATGATGAAGTTCTTTTCTACACAGAATATCATACAACATTATTGCCTGATGATCTTCTGAACTTCCCAATACCATTTGTCACTTCAAACCATCCTTTCTTCAGCTTGAAATACTGTCAAACGTACTGTCAGACTGATTTGTAATAAACTGTCATAGTCCCAATTAAAAAAGTAAACATTGGCCGTTGATTACATTACTTTTTTTTTACATGGTGGGGTCGCAAAGTTTTTTTTATATCGAAATAGGGTCGCAGGCCAAAAAAGTTTGGGAAACCTTGCCATACGGTAAGCTGATGAGGAAGCTAATGGACAAAGGACAGGACATATAGCTCTCTCTCTCAGAAGCATACATAGTGACCTGTACGTTAATGAGACACCTCTCTCCCTCTCTCTTTCTCACTCTCTGTCTCTTTATCTCTCTCTCTCTTTCTTTTACTTAAACAAGGCCTCAGAGTAACAGTCCTGCTGTGCTTAAGGAGAAGCCTTGCTGTGGAGCAAACACATGTCTCTTTGGCCTACTACAAGGGTTTCACCAGCAACTATACTGCTATATTTCAACATTCTGTAATAATTCAATATTCTGCAATGATAGCGTCTAATAACAATAGGACCATATTATTTATTGGGCCTACATTGTGTTGACTTTTCTCTGCTGGTTATCTTAACCTTCTTTGATGCATTACACGTATCAAAGGTGCTAGTCCAGACTAGTAGTGTAACTGAGTCTTTACATTGGACCTGTGTACAGGAGGCTTTTAACACCATGAAGCCTCAATCAGACAGACAGTGTCATTGCGTACCATTTTGCGTAGCTATGCAACTATACTGAACGCATGTATCTACCGTCTACCATACAAGTTGATGCATACGTTGGGTACATCCAACGTATATATCCACACAGAACGCACTGCAACTGCCTCTGCAACGCAATGCTGCAAGGCAAACGCAGCGTTCCATTGGAAATGAATGTACTTCTAGTGTACTAAAACGCAATGACGCTGTCGATCTGATCAATGTGTGAAGGAATAATCTGCAGAGGAGCTGTAATGTTCAGTTGAGTTCTATTTAGTTATAAGGAATGGGTCAGCTTTCAACTGTTGCTACTCATTTGAATTTAAACCTGTTCTCAAGGCGTATAAATTATTGAAAAGTACCGACTTGAAGTTGTTGGTTTTTTAAATAAGAATTCTCTTCACTTATCGGCCATTAGTTATAATTAAACTGTATTATTATGTGTTTGTGAATAATTCGTCGTCACCTGGCAGAACCTAATAATAGATGTATCAAATCATACGACCCCCAGTGAACATTTGCCACCACTCACAACCAGTTTTCTGCTGAGAATGCTGAAGAAGACATGGGATTTGTAATTTAGAATGCAGAAGGCAAAGATTAATTCTAAGTGAATTCCACCTCAAGACACCAGTTAGACCCTCCACTCTTAAACTGACATTTCAGATCAAGTTACAGTGCCTTCAGAAAGTATTCATACCCCGTGACGTATTCCACATTACAGCCTGAACTCAAAATGGATTAATTAAATAAAAACACACAATACCCCATTATAACAAAGTGAAAACATGTTTTTAGAAATGTTAGCAAATTTATTGAAAATGAAATACAGAAATATCTAATTTACATACACTACCGGTCAAATGTTTTAGAACACCTACTCATTCAAGGGTTTTTCTTTATTTTACATATAGAATAATAGTGAAGACATCAAAACTATGAAATAACACATATGGAATCATGTAGTAACCAAAAAGTGTTAAACAAATCAAAATTTATTTTATATTTGAGATTCTTCAAATAGCCACCCTTTCCCTTGATGACAACTTTGCACACTCTTGGCATTCTCTCAACCAGCTTCATGAGGTGGTCAACTGGAATGAATTTCAATTAACAGGTGTGCCTTATTAAAAGTTAATTTGTGGAATTTATTTCCTTCTTAATGTGTTTGAGGGGGGGGGGGGGGGGGGGCAGATAGCCCTATTTGGTAAAGACCAAGTCCATATTATGGCAAGAACAGCTCAAATAAGCAAAGCAAAATGACAGTCCATCATTACTTTAAGACATGAAGGTCAGTCAATCTGGAAAATTTCGAGAACTTTGAAAGTTTCTTCAAGTGCAGACACAAAAACCATCAAGTGCTATGATGAAACTGACTTTCATGAGGACCGCCACAGGAATGGAAGACCCAGAGTTACCTCTGCTGCAGAGGATAGTTCATTAGAGTTACCAGCCTCAGAAATTGCAGCCCAAATAAATGCTTCACAGAGTTTAAGTAAATAACACATCTCAACATAAACTGTTCAGAGGAGACTGTGTGAATCAGGCCTTCATGGTCGAATTGCTGCAAAAAAAAACACTACTAAAGGACACCAATAAGAAGAAGAGACTTGCTTGGGCCAAGAAACACAAGCAATGGACATTAGACCGGTGGACATTTGTGAGACGCGGTGTGGGTGAACGGATGATCTCCGCATGTGTAGTTCCCACCGTAAAGCATGGAGGAGGAGGTGTTATGGAGTGGGGGTGCTTTGCTGGTGACACTGTCTGTGATTTATTTAGAATTCAAGGCACAATTAACCAGCATGGCTACCACAGCATTCTGCAGCGATACACCATCCCATCTGGTTTGGGCTTTGTGGGACTATAATTTGTTTTTCAACAGGACAATGACCCAACACACCTCCAGGCTGTGTTAAGGGCTATTTTACCAAGAAGGAGAGTGATGGAGTGCTGCATCAGATGACCTGGCCTCCACAACCCACCAACCTCAACCAAATTGAGATGGTTTGGGATGAGTCGGAACGCAGAGTGAAGGAAAAGCAGCCAACAAGTGCTCAGCATATGTGGGAACTCCTTCAAGACTGTTGGAAAAGCATTCCAGGTGAAGCTGGTTGAGAGAGTGCCAAGAGTGTGCAAAGCTGTCATCAAGGCAAAGGGTGGCTATTTGAAGAATCTCAAATATAAAATATATTTTGATTTGTTTAACACCTTTTTGGTTACTACATGATTCCATATGTGTTATTTCATGGTTTTGATTTCTTCACTATTATTCTACATTGTAGATAATTCTACATAAAGAAAAACCCTTGAATGAGTAGGTGTAAAACCTTTGACTGGTCGTGTAAGTATTCATACTCCCAAGTCAATACGTTGTAGAAGCACCTTTAGCAGTGATCACAGCTGTGAGTCTTTCTGGGTAAGTCTGTAAGATCTTTCCACACATGGACTTTTTAAAATTTTCCCATTATTCTATTCAAAATTATTCAACCTTGTCAAATTGGTTGTTGATCATTGCTAGACAACCATTTTCAGGTCTTGCCATAGATTTTCAAATAGATTTAAGTCAAAATTGTAACTCGGCCACTCAGTAACATACACAGTCTTCTTGGTAAGCATCTCCAGTGTAGATTCGGCCTTGTGTTTTAGGTTATTGTCCTGCTGAAAGGTGAATTCATCTCCCAGTGTCTAGTGGAAAACAGACTGAACCCAGGTTTTCCTCTAGCATTTTGCTTGTGCTTAGTTCTATTCTGTATCTTTTTTTATATCCTGAAAAACTCCCCAGTCCTTAATGATTACAAGCATACACATGCCATAATGCAGCCACCACTGTGCTTGAAAATATGGAGTGTGATGTTCAGTAATGTGTTGTATTGGATTTGGACAAAAACTGAATTGCTTTGCCATATTTTTTTGCAGTATTACTTCAGTGGCTTGTTGCAAACAGGATGCATGTTTTGGAATATTTGTATTCTGTACAGGCTTCTTTCTTTTCACTGTGTCAATTAGGTTAGTATTGTGGAGTAACCTACAATGTTGTTGATTTATCCTCAGTTTTCTATCACAGCCATTCAACTCTGTTACTGTTTTAAAGTCACCATTGGCCTCATGGTGAAATCCTTGAGCGGTTTCCTTCCTCTCTGGCAACTGAGTTAGGAAGGATGCCTGTATCTTATTAGTGACTGGGTGTATTGATACACCATCTAATCTGTAATTATTAACTTCAACATGCTCAAAGGGATATTCAATTTCTGCTTTTTGAATAGGTGCCCTTCTTTGCAAGGCATTGGAAAACCTCCCTTTGTGGTTGAATCGTGTTTGAAATTCACTGCTCGACTGGGGGACCTTACAGATAATTGTATGTGTGGGATACAGAGTGTCATTCAAACATGTTAAACACTATTACTGCACACAAGGTCCATGCAACTTATTATGTGACTTGTTAAGCAAATGTTTACTGAATTTGTTTAGGCTTGCCATAACAAAGGGTTTGAATACTTATTTACTCAAGACATTTCCGCTTTTCATTTTTAATACATTTGTAACAATTTCTAAAAACATAATTTCACTTTGACATTGTGGGGTATTGTGTGTAGGCCAGTGACCAACAATCTCAATTGAATCCATTTTAAATTCAGGCTGTAACACAACAAAATTTGAAAAAGGTCAAGGGGTGTGAATACTTTCTGAAGGCACTGTATGTGCTCCGTCAACCGCTCAATATTGAGGAGTTGTGAGTTTAGGAAGCAGTCAAATGTATTGCCTCCTTATTAGGAGTAAAGATAATTATTGTTTAAGAAAACGACAACTTCAAGTCTGTACTTTTCAATAATTTATACGCATTGAAAACAGGTTAAAATTCAAATGAGCAGCAACAGTTGAAAGCTGACCCATTCCTTATAACTAAATAGAACTCAACTGAACATTACAGCTCCTCTGCAGATTATTCCTTCACACATTGATCAGATCGACAGCGTCATTTCATTTTGGTACAACAGAAGTACATTCATTTCCAATGGAATGCTGCGTTTGCCTTGCAGCATTGCGTTGCAGAGGCAGTTGCAGTGCGTTCTGTGTGGATATATACGTTGGATGTATCCAACGTATGCATCAACTTGTATGGTAGATGGTAGATACATGCATTCAGTATAGTTGTGAAGCTACACAAAATGTTATGCAATGACGCTGTCGATCTGATTGAAGTGTCATGGTGTTAAAAGCCTTCTGTACACAGGTCCAATGTAAAGACAGTTACACTACTAGTCTGGACTAGCAGCATTGATACGTGTAACGTATCAAACAAGGTTAAGATCACAAGCAGAGAAAAGTCACCCCAGTGGGCCATGCTGTGCGTTTAATTGTGGTGTAGAAGATGGCTCAATAGGTTGAAGCATGGGACTAACAAAAGGGTTGTGGGTTCGATTGTGTCTTCATGTGTTAGCTGTAAGTCACTTGAGATAAAAGTATCTGCTAAATGACCATAATGATATTGAATATCTGTCAGTCGATGTTACTTAAGTTAAGGGTTGGCCTAAGCATCTGTTGAAAAAACAATATCCTGATTCATACTGTGATATGGAATCGGTAAAAGCCCTTGAGCTGATTATTGGGAGGATTTGACCTTCTGAACCTTTCAGACTGTGTCTGGCCATATCTGATCGTGTGGTCTATTTCCTCTAGGGACCCTGAAAAGCTCGCTGCAATATTACATTATGGATGATGCTTATTGGCAACACTTGACCGCATCTGACCCTAACCATGTGTGACCATATCTGACAGCTTTTGACCGTGTGTGACCATGTGGTCGCTCTCTAATCTGTAGGGACCCTAAACGCTTTCCTGAGACAGAAGGGTCAGGCAGTGGCCGAGGGGCCTGCGTGGTCGCTGAGTGGTAACCAAGGCGACCGCTGGAAACAAGCCAAAGTCAGCATCCACCCAACCACCTCTTTCCAGGTGAGTAAGATTGGACATGTGATTGGATGATTGTGTGATTGGATGATTCAGGAGTCAGTAATGGGACGAATCCTAACTTAAAGTCTCTCTATCTTTCCCTCCATCTCTCTCTTTTTCTCCAACCTCAGGTGGTGTTGGAGGGTATCCGAGGTCCAGGCATCGAGGGGGACATCGCAATTGATGACGTCACCCTTGAGGAGGGAGAGTGTCGAGATCTACCCCCCATTAGTAAGCACAAAAACACAGAAGGAGGAGTTTATCCCTAATTGCTGATCTAAGGACAGTTGTATGTTTAACACCCTGATGGATAAGATAAGGATTTGGGAGAGGGTAAGCTCATCTTAGAAATGTGCCTAGGGTTGCTCCTAGAGGCTGAACCAAGGTCAGTTCTGAAGTCAGTTAGGATTTGGGGGTAGATAGATTAAGCTGATTGTAATCTGTGCTCTCTCTCTCTGCCTATGAGGAGGAGCACTTCTACCTGGCAGCTAGTCTCTCTCTAGTAATAAAGAAAACCCTGGGGATGTTGCCATAGCAACGGGGCTGTAATCACATGAATGATAGCAGTCCCGATGGAACGGAGCGACTGAACGAGCGAAAGACCGCAGGGAGTGGGGCACTGTAATTGCAGAATGAGGGGAACAAACCGAGAGAGTAAGGGAAAATAGAAAAACGGGCCTGCAATTGACGAGGCGGCCATATTGGCAAGTTAGGAGGAGGAGGACTATGTTCCTCACTGCAGGAGGGAGAGGATCTCTGGTTAAAGCTTTGTTCTAAATGGACCTGTTACACACACATATACCAAACCTTTTTTCTTTGAAATGTAGCCGTGCGTAGTTTGTCGTTTTTGTCATTTTCATTTTCCGTTTATTTCTTTTTTCTTTTTTTCCCATCTGCTTTCATTTACACAGAAAATTGGAAAACGGGAAATAAACGTGTTAGTTTTATTTGAGATAACTGATTGAAGGATGTGTGTTTGTTTTTTGTAGGAATTGAATAAAGGGAAACACTTATGTACAATTGTAACGGACCTCTCTAATGTGAAATTGCTTTTTAGTAAAATGAATACCTTCATAACGATGCAGCTATGAATATGATTTTGAGCATAGACTGGTCACTATTTCAAAATCTACTATGTAAAACAGAAAATGTACAATGTCTAGCATATCTCCAGTTGCAATATCCAGGAAGAATATCTTAATAAACTAAAGTAAACTAAACAATATCCAGTCATTATACTTCTGAGTCCAACAGTGTGCTGTGCATTTGTCTGCAGTGTATCTGGTGCCATTATCATTCAGATCAGTTTAATCACTTAATTAGTAGTTAAAGAGTTAGTCACCCAGGTCGAGGACAGACTCTGACTCTCTCCATGTATAATGGATTTACCATCGCTCACCATGAATCTTACATGATCCTCACTGCCACCATGGAAAAAGCATGTGTTTTAATAAAATGTCTTATAATGTATCATTTTGACTTCACCTGGATATTGTTTTTTGGAGATATTTTTGGGAGGAAAGCCAAAATTGGGATTTCAGGGTCATGATGACATCAAATGTTATTGAACGTCTTATAATTCTGTCTCTGTCTCCGCCCCCCTTTAGATCTCAGATCCTCAGCCCCGCCCACATCCGCCCATATATGGCCGCTGAGTGTCACCTTGGCGATGACCTTCCTGTGGGGTCGAAGGTGACCCTGCCCTGCATCGTCTGGCGGAGGCGAACGGTCCGGCCTCAGCCTGACCTCGGCCCTGGCGTCTGTGTTCTTGTACCCTCAGCATCCAATCACCAAAGATTCATGCATTTAGAAGGCGGCAGCGAGGTGCTCCAAGCACAGACCACCACCGAGGGCCGAAAATCAAAAAAAGGGAAAAAAAATACTACATAAATAGTAATAAAAGAAGATTTGCGCATTTTTTTAAGAGACAACTTTTCCAGAAAATTGTTCCCCAATCACATGATTGTGAGCACTTTTACGAGCGCGAAGCAAAGCAAGGTGTTGTGACGCCTGAACTTTAGTGGGAGTGTTCACTATCGCAGTGGGAGAACTATTTGTAAAGCACAAGGACAATTTTGCCAGTCAGTTAGGAAACTTAAATTGAAAGGTGTGGAGGAATTGAGCTTTTCTGTGTTTTATCTTATCTTCATTGAGTTGCTCCTGATGCGCATCATGGACACTTTTCTCTCTGCCCAGCCACCCTCACCTGACCTCCACACCTTGACATGTCTCTCTCTCGGCTTGGTGCTGTACTGTAGGAAACAGAAACTCAGACAACGTTTAGTTATCTATCCCAGATCCCTCTCCCTTCTTCCCCAGTAGCTGCCTAAGTATTTTACAACATTGTGCTCACTAGTCCAAGGTATCTGAGACCAGGAAGGCAGGCCCAAGGTATCTGGGTTAGATGAAGGAGAGAGGTAGGAGACAGAGTTGAAGAGGGGTGGGGCAGAAAGGAGGAGAGGGGTAGGAAGGGCTTTGGGGTTAAGACAGATTAGGTATATAGGGAGGTGGAGGTCTGTAGCAGTCAGATAGAGGTAGGTGGAGATGGACAGACAGACAGAAAGACAGAAAGAAAGAAAGAAAGAAAGAAAGAAAGAAAGAAAGAAAGAAAGAAAGAAAGAAAGAAAGAAAGAAAGAAAGAAAGAAAGAAAGAAAGAAAGAAAGAAAGAAAGAAGGCAGTGGCATAGTGGATGAGAGAAGTAGAGGATGGAGACCAGAGGGGAAGGAGTGGTGAGGATGAGTAGAGGATGGAGACCAGAGGGGAAGGAGTGGTGAGGATGAGTAGAGGATGGAGACCAGAGGGGAAGGAGTGGTGAGGATGAGTAGAGGATGGAGACCAGAGGGGAAGGAGTGGTGAGGATGAGTAGAGGATGGAGACCAGAGGGGAAGGAGTGGTGAGGATGAGTAGAGGATGGAGACCAGAGGGGAAGGAGTGGTGAGGAGGAGTAGAGGATGGAGACCAGAGGGGAAGGAGTGGTGAGGATGAGTAGAGGATGGAGACCAGAGGGGAAGGAGTGGTGAGGATGAGTAGAGGATGGAGACCAGAGGGGAAGGAGTGGTGAGGATGAGTAGAGGATGGAGACCAGAGGGGAAGGAGTGGTGAGGATGAGTAGAGGATGGAGACCAGAGGGGAAGGAGTGGTGAGGATGAGTAGAGGATGGAGACCAGAGGGGAAGGTGAAAGGCAGATGAGAAGAGAGGTGTCTCTGGTCTCCACCAGCCAGCAGGCCAACCCCTGCAGCTGAGGAACAGAAGCCACTTTCTGCCATGAAACAAAGTGCCTTCCGATTACAAACAGAACAGACCGAATTGTGAACCTGAATGGTAACATCAAACACACCAATGATGATGATGATGTTCCCTCTGCTGTCACTCATGTTGGGCTATTTTCAACATGTTTATTTTGACCCATAAGTGCTGGTGGGCGGCACAGTTGCTCAGAGGGATTCAGTTCAAGTCGTGTGTGTGCCTGCATGTGTGAGTGTGTGTTTTAGGGAAAGGATGGTGGAGGAAAGTCAGGCAGACCGAGCAGCATAGGTCACAGGACTATTGCAAGTTGTCACAAACCAGGCAGTTGTGGCCGTTTCAAAAAAGGAGTTTGTGAAAATGCAGAGGAGGGGTAAAAACGATGGACTACAAAGGGAGGAGGGGCTGTGGAGCTTCTCAGAAAGACAGTCAGAGATCACATACTGTAGGAGGACAAAGACACTCGCTATCGATCGCATCGCTCTTTTTCCGAAAGCGACTCCATCCCCTCCGAACATACTTTTTTAAAGAAAAGAACAGAACTATTGTTAAATAAAACATTGTGTTGTACAGGGAGGGGAGTAGGACATGGCGACTGCAGGCTCTACGTTAGATGGAATAATGTACGCCTCGCCCCCCACACACATCCATTTACATCGAACAATGTGTGAGAAAAATATGAATAATGATAATAATATTGATATTTTATTACTCTAGCGAGAATGTTTCTCTGCTTTTACACAAACTGTGAAGATTGACTGTGGAAGAGCTACCTGAGACCCTCCATTACTTTAACCAGCTGGTTTTTAAAAACAACATATTGTAAAAAAGACTAAAAGAAATTGAGAAAAAATTCAGTACATTGTTGGTTATAAAAAAAAAACATTTCAGGACTTGTTGGTCTTGTTTCTTATATTTTTCTGTTGGGAAAATTATCTGACTTTTAACTTCCTTTTATCTTCTTGTTGTCTCCCTTGCATTGCTGAAGTATCAAAACCCGACGATTGAAACATAAGTTAAACCTATTTGGTAGTTGTATAGCTTGTAAATGTAAAGAAGCTCTATTTTAAAGGTTTATGATCAGTGTTTTATGTTGGAGAACTGGAATCACAACATATAAGCTCTCGACATATAAAATGCAGTATATATGGCACATATACTGTATGTGGCCTGCTCAGACAAAGTCAGGCTTATAGACCCCAAGAAACATCTTACACAATCATCGATTACATTGACATTCATACATTGTTACCCATCCAAAGACATGAATGCAAAGAAATTATGTGAAAAACTACCAGTCCCAGACGATTTAGAATGAGTCTTATGAGACAATAAAGGACAAGTAATTTGGTTGGTAAAGAATTGTAATTTGGTTGGTGTTGCGACTTTTGGCACAGAAAATGTATTGTGCTGAAAATGCATAGTACTAGAAATATAAGCCTGGTTTGGTCCGAGCTGGTTGTGTATATGTGCGGGCATATGCAGTGTACAATAGGTGTGATAAGAAACAGATACATGTAAAGAAAAAATACCTTACATAACAGAGCAGAATGATAGGCGGCCGTTATAGAGCATTAATAACATCCTCTCATATTGTGTACGTTTTACTAGGACATTATAACATTTACGTGTACTGTCAATGCTGTAGAGTCTGGTTGGGTTCATGGGGGGAGGGAATTATTTCATTTCTTCTTCTTTTTTATGCCCAGATTATATTGAATGTAAATAAAAAATGAGGGTGCCATAATAATTATTTGTTTCGAGGCCTACCTACGCCCTTTATAAAAGACAGGGTCACAGATATGTTACAGTTATTTATCTCCAGAAAATGATACGTAGCGTTTTGCCGCGCCCCATGTTGTTGAAAGCTATAAAAGTTTTGGAGGTTATTGAGGAACCAACCTGTTTATTGATTTATTCTGACCTGGACAAAGACGTATTACTGTACTTGGCAATCCCACCACATGCTGTATTGTACTCATACAACTAAGTACAAGTTTGAAATTCAATAACAAGTCCAAGTA